TGATAGGTACTCTACCCATTTTAAGAGAGCGAAAATATTTATTATAATATTATATAAGCATAATTTTTAAAATCATACTTCATTATTAAAATTATGATAATAATTGATAACATTCAATTTACACATTTGCATATGTTATCCCCGTGACTCCGTCTTCTAAACAACGCATAGAAAATTTGTGTTAGCACTCAGCAGAATCATTTATAAGTACTTAATAAGCTCTAATATATTAGAATAACTTGACCTATTATCAAACTAAATCAAAGATAAGAATATTATCAAGGACATCTCGTAAGCTTTATATTTCGATCTTAAAGTGAATCACTGAATTATAACTCGGTGTATAAACAACAGATTTCTATCATCATAATACATAATTTTGTAAGACTTAATCCTTACTTTTTACCATATTACATGAAATTCAGATTAATAAACATTCTTCAAAGTTCAAGTGAAGCTAGAAAATTTTTTGGGTGGATATTGCTAAAATATAAATAAGTTTGGTATTAAGTTTGAGACGTTACTCCTATATATATAATTCAATTGATTTATTAATATTCATCATGATAAATTTAAGGAAAATCAAACTTTTAATTAACTATTCTAACAAATAATCTATGCTTTATTTTATTTAATATTTGATTTTTATTTTACATGTTAGTCACCGTTTCATTTAATATTTCTATTAAAGTTAACACATACTATATATTATATTAATACAAAGATTGCACTTAACGATATTATTTGTATTTAATGTATGTAATTCTAAAATATTCAATTATAATAAAATATGAAATGTATAAATGACCTTGCTAAAAGGATAGATAGTTGACGGGTATTTAAATTACTTGCAATGGATGGATATTGGATATAGCTATGGCATAAAATTTAAATGATTAGTTAAAATACTTATAATTAATATGACCTCATATAAACGAAATACGATATAAACAATACGTAACTGAACGAAGCATAACAGATTTTACCAAGTTTTGGATGTCATTATTATTATTAAAAATAGTGTCATGCTGTTTGTAAAAAATAATGATAATAGGAATTTATTATTAAACTATCAAAGGAATCGTTTTATAATGATAATAATTTTTGTGCAATATTTTGTTATAGAAGAGATGGGGTTATGTATTTTGAAAATCGCATTTCCTTTGAATACCTTTATTTTTTGTTGTGTATACATTTTTATTTTCATTTGCAATATACCATGTATATACCTAATACCTACTCATTTTATAATTTTATGATATATTAAAATTATGTACCTGGTAAATAAATTATACAAAGATTATAATTGTGTATTATTTTTAATGGGATTTACTAGACAGTAGAATCTACTGTCTGCCCGCAATGCAGATTTATAAATAACATCCAATTTTTCATACCCTGTTCTTTGTATTAAAATAACTGAGCAGCGAGCATGATGCTTTTGAATCCTATATGAATTTATGTATTATTAATATTGATAAATTTTACCTACTCTGGACCTATTTAGCAATACGAATACAAACTAGACAGGCCGATGATTTAAGGGAGAAATATGACGTCATAATTGGTGTAGACGAATTTCCGTAATACGTATCTAAACGTGCTGGTCGTATCGTTGTTTTCTATGCTTAACTGTAAACGTCCAAACAGGCTGCCTTGAAGTATACAGGATAGTTTTTGGACCACTAATTACTCTTAGAAGTCGCTGGGGTGTTTTGGAAAGTTGGTAGTAAATGTGTCTGTGTTAAACTTCGCATAAGCGCTCTTGTATGCCACCACACCAGAGCCATTTGCTAACCAGATGGTCAACTTGTGCAGATAGTTGCTGTTCAGATCGGACACAGTCTGTCTGCCTGCAGTCGTGCTTGTGAACTGCATGGTTATCAACTATCGATAGGTTGTACTGGTTTTAGCCGTCTACCGTCCCTGGTATACGTCATTCCAACTATATAGGGACATAGACGGCCTGTTCTCCAGAACCGTTGCACTAGATCTTGTTTCCTGCATCATAAAATCGTAGGTAACGCAATGAAATATACTATCTAGAATTAAATAGTATTTGCAAATAATAATATAAGAAAAATTAATTTAAGTAAGATTTCAATCGAAGTAAGAAAAAAGTCCAATAATGTATTAAGTGAAAGTATATTTTTCTATTTTGACTTTAATGACAATGGTTAAATACAGCTGAATTTGCAGAAAAATATCCATGTTTTAATACTGATAGGGGGATTGCCATTCGTCTCGATTTAGGTGGGATGCTAGGTCCACTAAATACTGGTTTTAAGTATGCTATCTCAATGGAGGATAAATATTACATATTTGGTTTCTTATAATAAATTCTCTGTATAGAACAATTTTTTATGTTGCAGTAAACCAATTACAATTATTTCCTACATAAACATTTTATTTCATATTTTTGATGTTTAAAATAAATTATTTAAATTATCACTATTTTTCGCCTCTACTAATGACTCAATCTAATCATATACTAGGTTGGGTAAAATCAAATCATTAATAAAACAAAATAAATTATAAAAAACCTTTTTTTAACTTACTCATATTTATCATTTTCATCGAAATATATCCAACCAAAATCTTAGAAAGAATAGGCTCAGTAACTTTTTTTTTATTTCATTGAATTCAAATTTAACCAATATTCTACAATCCAAATAAACATATTTAATGATATAAATATTACATCTTCATAAATAGTTGAGAAAAGAAAATTTATGGATAAAATGTTATGAATAAGTAGTAAGTATGCAATACATTACTATACCTATTTATATTTGTTTTTTGCAATTAATTTTATGATGAAAAATGTGGACAGCATGGAATTAGTGTTATGTATTTAAAATATATTTAAAAAAATTATGGTTTTGTAAAAAATGTTGAATTCTGTACATGACTATACATTTATTAGAAGAAAAGATTTTGTGTTTACTCAAAAATTGGTTGTATACTTCAATAATTATACATATTTAAAATATTAAAGTATTAAAAAAACAAATACAAATGTAATTAGTTACAGAGAAAGTAATAATACTATTAAAGTACAATATATATTTTTAAATATGGTATATTTAATTCAAATATACTATAATTTTACAGGAAATCATTCTATTATTTCAAATGAATTTGTATATCAATTATTAGTTCTATAAATAATTAAGTAAAAAATATTTGTCCAGTATTTTTTTTCTATCAAATTATAACATTTTATTTTATTTTGTAAATTATTTGAAAAATATAAAGTATATTATTAAATGAACATTAAAAACTAGTTACCTTTTTTTTTTGATACAAAATAGTATTATAAAAATAACAAAAATACAGTATTCAAAATAAATCAAAAATAGAATAAACATCTAAATATTTATATGATTGAATCAATGGATACAAGTTCAAATGATAAAAAAAAAAATTAAATCTGTAAAACACTTTAGGTTTGAACCTCATTTAGGTTTATTATTGAAAATTGATTGAGTCACAACAAGATCTTGAAGTTTGAACGATACATCTAGAAAGAAATTAAATTATAATTTATAAATTAAAATGTTAATCTGATTATAATATTAAAGTACCATTGCATTCATCTTCTGAACAGCTTTCATCTGGACTAAACCGACATTCATTATTAAGATATGATTTAAGTTTGCCACTAGAAGCTAACATTAAACCTAAAAATGGAGGCGATGGTTTTAAAGGTCTGGTTAAATATTCTGGATGGAACTGTGTAGCCACATAATAAGGATGATCATCAAGTTCACATATTTCCATTCTAACTTTTTCTGTATCTGTTCCAACAAATTTTAAACCAGCTTTTTCTAGACGTTCTACATATTCAATGTTTACTTCATAACGATGACGATGCCTCTCTTCAATTGTTTCAAATCCACCATAGAGTTTATCTTAATTTATACAAATTTAATTATAATATAAATATAATATTTATAAAATCATTTACATTTAACCTTAAATTTAACTTACGTATAACAGATGAACATCCTTTCTTGAAGACAGTTGTTCTTTTACCAAGCCTCATTGTTCCACCTTTATTTTCAGGACAATGTTCAGGCATTTCAATTATTAAAGGATCTTTGGCATTAGAATTTATTTCAGCAGTATCAGCATTTTCCAAGTGTAATACATTTCTATGAATGTTTAAAAATGTTAATGTTATATATAACATACTTTTTGCATACTATTATTGCTTTAAAAATAACTTACCTGGCAAATTCAATAACAGCAACTTGCAGACCAAGACAAATTCCCAAAAATGGTTTACGATTTTCTCGACACCATTTACATGCTTCTATTTTACCTTCAACACCTCTTGTACCAAAACCTCCAGGTACAATTACACCACTAGTTATGAAAAATAAAGTAATAAATAAATCATTTGTTAAACGTGTAAGATTAATTAACTTACTCACTACGGCATAATTTCTGCCATGCTTCATGATAATCAACTGGATTTGATAATTTAGTTTCAGTTTCAAGATTTGCAGCTTCGACATACTTATAAACAATAGATATAATAAATAAAATTAGTTGTGTAATATATTTTGAATAGGATATTAGGATATAAAAAATTATTACTGTAATAGCAACTTTAAGATTGATATGAGCAGCAGCATGAACCAAAGATCTAGAAACTGATACGTATGCATCAGTAAGTTGTGTGTATTTACCAACTAAAGCTATTTTAATTATTTTTTGAGAGTTGTCAATCCTGAAAATAATTAAATATGTAAGATACCTAAATATTTAAATTATGTAAATATTTTTTATAAGCTTAATAATTTATAACTCATTTTTCATAAACTCCCCTCCTGAATAAATACTGAAAAAATAAATTTAAAAAAAAAAAATATATTATTTGTTTATAATTTGATGTAACTTACAGAAACTTGTTTATAATTTTAATAATACATATTATAAAATAGGTAAAAATAAAATTTTCTAAAAATTTCAATAACTTCTTAAAATTTTAGAAAAGTAAAAATTTAAATTGTACAATAAAAAAATAAATAACTGATAAATTTAAAAATATTAGTGTATGTAGAAATAATATAAAGAATTTTACTTGTCAGATAGTTTTTTCCACTGTTTCATAAAACTTCGATTATAAGCCAAATTTATAGGGAAATTTAAACGATCTTGTAAAAATTCCAAAGCGCCTTGATTTTCCATAAATAAAGGTACTTTATATATTGAATCCAAATCATGCATAAATAGTACCTAAAAGAAATTATTATTTTAAGAATAAAAGCATATACTATTATTACATAGATTAAACATACTTGTCTTGAAGCTACATCACAAAAAGTTGATATTTTCCTTTTAACTTGTTCAACATTTGAACATGGTTTAGTACTTCTGCAGATAACAAGATCAGGTGTTAAGCCTAAACCTCTTAATTCACGAACACTTGATTGAGTTGGTTTTGTTTTGTCATCTCCAGTAGCACCAGGCTATAGAACATTACAAATTAAAAATATATCTTAATAGAATATGAATACTTAAAAATAATATTATAATAATAATCATATATGTACCTGGAGAATAAATGAAACATGAGCACACACAAAATTTTCTTTTTTTACTTTAAATTGAAATTGTCTAAAAGCTTCAACAAATGGCATACTTTCTATATCACCAATTGTGCCACCAAGTTCAACAACACAAACCTAATCACATAATTAATATTAAGTATTTATCATCTAACACACTAGGAATTATTAGGAATATATAGCAATGTATTTGATATAGTGTTATTAATTCTTTTTTTTTTTTTTTATAAGAAAAAAGTTTGTTATAATTATTTAATATGTTACAGTTCATTTAAATATTATAAAACAACTAAAAATCTAACTCATTACAACTTATAGTTAGTATTTAATCTTATACGCACAAGAATAAATAATTATGTTTATTTACTATTTATGCTTTTAGATGACATGTATTGATAATTTATATGCAAAATATTATATATTTAGCAGATATATAAAAATATTCAATAAATAAAATAATTAAATATAATAAATAATCTTACATCAGGTTCTACTTGATCATCGCTCACTGGTTGTTTGGCCACACGTTCAACCCATTCTTGTATTGCATCTGTGATATGGGGTATAACTAAAAAAATAAACATATAATTTCAGTGTTTATTTAAAAATTATATAAATCAAAAACAATTATTGAATTGTATAAAATATTATTACTTTAAAAATCATAAAGGCATAACAATTTTAAACTAATTTTAAAGAATACTTGAATAAAGTATTGATTGTAACGCTGAAAATATTTTTAATTTAATTTTTGGAAACCATACAAAGGAAATAGCATTAAATAGATATACAGAGTGCATATATTGCTTATAATTATAAATTAAATTTTCCAAGTCAATACAATAATACTTAAAATAAGTACATTTAAGTATTCATTAATTAGAAATAAAGATATCTATAATTAATAATATTTTTATATAATAATGCTAATCATATTTATAATGAATAAATATTACTTCTTATTCTGAATAGTTATATTAAATTGTTAATAAAAATAAATTAGCAATCTTATATTTTTAAGCAACTTAATAATTTGTTTGAGTTTAAACTTTAATAAAATATAACAATGGAGATCATTATTAACGATCAAATTAATTTGTCTCCATCATTAACTAAGATAATTATTAAAATAAATCATGGTATCTATGGAAATTATTTTCTCACGGTTTATTTGATATAAAAATCAAGACTAGCCCGTATTAATTTTAATTATGTAAAAAGAAACTATATCAAGGTTATACACATTATATTTTATATTAAATTGTGTAGTGAGTAGAAATTGTCTTCCCACACTAACTACACTACATACATATTCTTTTTAATATCACACCTATGCATAATGAAATGTTCTTGACACTTTTAGTATTTAGTATAATTAACAAAACATATTATTACATCAATGAATATTAATCTGATTTAGACAGTAACTTATTAACAGAAAAAGTATTTATAGGCCTCTGGATAGAAAATGGTCATTTTTCTATGCTTTAACTGATATCAAACATGAAACTTACAATGCAGGAGTAACAAAAAAAGTACCCGACTCAAATTAACTTATTCTATATATGGATATACTTAGACAGCTATTTTTTTTTGTAAGTAGTATCCATTAGGTAAATATGTACAACAAAATATTATGGCTTCATTAAACTGTCCTAAAATCAGGAATACCTTGGACTGTTTTTCCTAAGTAATCGCCACGTCTTTCTCGATTGATAACTTCCTGATATATTTTGCCAGTTGTAATGTTGTTCTGGCTATGCAAAGTGACATCTAAAAACCTTTCATAGTTGCCTAAATCCAAATCAACTTCACCACCATCATCTAACACATATACTTCACCTAGAAAAACAAATTAATTATAAATTTATATAAGTACATAACACAAAGTAGGCAACTGTTACAATAGACTATTTATACATATTTTCAATTTATTTTTAATAAGTACTATAAAAAATTATTAAAATAAACATTTTAGTTTCAATCTAAAAAGCTTAAGTAGGAACATATACAATTTAATTGACATATTTCTATATTTCCAATACAAAATTAAACAAATAAATGATTTATAAATGCATATTTATTCTAAAATCAAATTTGTACACTACACCAATTCATTAAAGACATCAATAATAAAAACGTATTTTGGGATTTAATTTATCGCTCTATTTGTAAAAACCAATTCTAAATTATCAAAATCTCAGATATTTAAAAAGTTGAAAACGGAATTAATCATGCAGTATTATTCGGAATTATATGAAGAGCTGAGGTAATAATTTGATATATGTGTGAAAAAGAAAATATTACAGAACAGCCATAAACTTTTAATTAAAATATTGGCAGGTAATAATATATAGTCTATTATACGCACACACCGTGTTCATAAGGCGAGAATGTCCCGGCATCAATGTTCAGATATGGATCGATCTTAATGGACGTCACGTGGACGCCGCAGGACTTCAGAAGCGTACCAATAGACGAGGCGATTATGCCTTTGCCTACGCCGCTCATGACACCGCCAGTGACCAAAATGTATTTCATGATTTATTATTCTTCGGATCAAAAGGAATCGAAAAACCCCGAGGACAACCGGTGTAATAGTAAATATCACGGACGCGAGAACAAACACACTGAACAACCGAGTACGGAGATTCGGATACAGAGAACACAGGTAATAGCAAAGGGGTAATATAATATTGATGGTGAGTTGTCGTCACCACGATATTAAAAAATGACAACGATATAATACGTAGACTACATACGACGTATGTAACTGCGGACTGTTAGTAGTTATGACTGATGCCGTTGTGACGCACAACCACGAAGTTCTACCGTTAAGTACCCACTGGACTGGACACTACCCAACGATGAACGAGGACAACCACTAAGTGCAAGTTACAACAGTGAACAGACTACAAAGAAAAGATATGGATTACGAATTACGATAAGCCGAGTTGACATCGTGTGCATGTCATTGTATATACTGAATAGTAATAATTTTTAATAGTAATAGGTGGCTGAGCGGGTCAACATATTTTGGTTGGCGTGCAAAAAGCGCGGAAAAACGAAAACATGCATTTTTAGGTTATTGTCTTTATCATGGTTACTATCATGAATCTTATGCGGTAACTACAACTATAGCTGATATCACGGGCTAAGATATAATTATTATAATAATATCCTATAATATATATATAGTCAATAGTCAATTTATGTGATGCTATAAAACAAGGTTTATTATTATCTATAAACCTTGGCTATATAATACCGCTGTGGTAACCTGTGGTAATATAATTCAAGATAATGAGATAATCATTGATAACCGTCCACCGATAACAATTGTCTTGTATTTTTTTAAGAAATAAAAAAGATTTTCTATAATTAATGCCTACCTATACTGCTATTTATAATTGAGTATAATTAATCTATTTAATTTTTGGTGCGCAAGCAAAGTTCTTGTTTTGTCTTGACACAATATTATGAATTATGGCGTAACGTACGAATTTTTTTCCTACAGGTTTCTCCTTCGTATTTCAAATTAGCTTACCGAAATTATCTCTACCTCGGAGTTCAAGGACAAACGTGCTTAACTGATAAGAAGTCTGATCAGCTTATTGAAATAATATTCAAACATTTTTCACAATTTCTCCGCTACTACAATATCTGCTTTAGTTTCATAAGTTTCATCTCACTTGACGTCTACCCGTTGGCCGGTAACCAGTCTTTTTGTAGTTCACCATATCATTCGTAATTCCTATACCGATCATGTCGTCCAAACAAAAAGTATGCATTTTGGGATCAGGAAATTGGTATGTACTATTGTTGCTTTAATGATTATTTACATTGAATAGATTGAATTACCTTCTATTGACAAACCGATTAACTACTTTAGATTTATCCGCCTTAATGTGTAATAAAAAACAGATCGGTTTTATAAAAAATTGTTGTGTAAATATTTTTTGCCATCACTCAATAATACCTATTCATAATTTTTATATTACTAAAAGAGTGTTTTGTTTTTGATCTCTGATAATTAATGATATGTATTTTAATTAAATTAATATACAAATGGTTTTTTTTTTTTTTTTAATTTAAATTTAAATTGTTGATTACACTACTATGTATACACATTATAAAAACATTCTTGAATGGTCATCAAAAGTTCTTAAAAATTATTGTTCAACATTATAGTAGTATCAGTGAATTCAACACAAATATATGTGAAATAAATACTAATCTTATATTTTTAATGAATAAATATGAGAATTAACTTCAATATAAAATTTGTGTTTTATTATTTTATGACTATTTTTTTTTTTTTAAGATAATTGTTAAAATATTTTGCTTATATCCCTATTTTATATTTAAAATATTTTAAGTATGTATCTATTTATCTGAAGTATTAAAAATGTTACCTAATATTAATTTTAGATAAAATTGTGCCACTATTATTGTCTTTTGTTAAAAAAAAATCAGAATATTATTAGATAATCGTTTATAGTAGATGTCAAGTGTACCTCTTCTTAAAGTAGATTACTTTAATAGATTTTTTAAATTTGAATTTAATAATAATATATTATATACTATTAAAAATGATTCTGAGTGGAATCAACTGTTAATCAACCTAAGATATTTAAGAGTGACCAAGTATAATAAAAATGAAAAGTACAAAATTTGTCAACATTTTAAATGAAAACAATTATAAAAAATGATATTACACTATAGTATGTATTTTTATACATTTTAAGATAAATTAGTAAATTTTATTGTTCTTTACAAAAAAAAAAAAAAAATGTATTCATTCCTTTAATCAGAATTTAAAATATTAAATCAGGAATTTTATTTAACTTATATGGTTTAAAATAAATTAAATTATTTTTTTAATCATATTTTTCATACTGGTGAGTAATTAGTAAAGATACACAGTATTTTTTAATTCAAATAAAAATTTTATTTTTAAGGTACCATATTTTATTTATAAGTCATCAGTTGATTAGTAAAATTATTAATCTAATTTCCATACTAACATTTTTTTTTTAAATATAAATATTTATTTAGAAATAAAATTAGTTTATTTATTTTAAAATATATATTTAAAAAAATATAATTCATAATTGTACATTAATTAACTTGAATAATTAAAAAATACATGTTTTGGGGTTACTCTCACAATTGAGACACCAAACAGCTATTTCTAATCAAATTTGTATAATAATTCCTATAATTTGTCATTTATTTTATAAATAGGGGTTCATCAATTGCAAAAATAATTGGTTCAAATGCAGCCCGTTTGGATTCATTTGATTCTTGTGTTAAAATGTGGGTTTATGAAGAAATAATAGATGGTAAAAAATTGACTGAAATAATTAACACTACTCATGAAAATGTGAAGTATTTACCTGGAAAAAAACTCCCTGAAAATGTGGTATGTTTTTGTTAACTTAATTATTATTGTTTTGTACTAATATAAATTTTATTTTATTTTATTTAAATTCCATTTTCTTTTATTTATAATCAAATTACATTAAACTTTAATCAATTTCATCCTGAAAATAACTATAGATACTCTATAAAAATAATTTATTAGTCATTGAATTTTTCTGTTAACTTTATAGTTTACATAAATAGAATATTGAACAAATGTTTAAAGTAGTATTATGCTGATAAGAAAAAAAAAAATAATTAATTTGTACATTTAAATAGTAAACTTAATTATTGATAATTAAATATGTATTTTTGTTTTAATAAAAATTCCTAATATTCATCTATACCATTGTATTCCCACATTAAATATCAATTTTTCTTAAATTAAAATACCTATATATTGTGTACCTATAGGATATAAGTAATATTGATAACTAAACAAATAGATAATAAAGTTTATGTAAATAGTGTAGAATTTATTTTTATTTTTTTTCTAACAATAAATATGTAAATATATGACAATGGTATGGATTAAGGGCATTTAGTTATGTTCAATGTCATTTAATTTTTAACTTACACGTTTATTTGACTTATTGCCAATGTCTTGGCAAATAAAAATTTATTATTTATCATGTGGTATTATGTAGTTATTATAAAAATACATCTTTTAAAATTAATTATTTTTATCAACTAATTATTTCAATTCATTGATTTAAAATAAATTAATTTGTTACAGCTTTTTTATTTTTTATTTGACATAAAATCTATTTAATTTAATTTTGTTGATATTAAAACTAAACTTTTATTGATTATATAATAATGCACAATATTTTTAATTAATATCTATTAGAGTATCTTCTTTAATTTAAACTCATTAAATTTTATAATTACAAACTTTTTATATTAAACTTATTGTGTAATAATAACAATTTAATTATAGCATTTTTTACATTAAATTTAATTAGGCTATTACATTTCTCTATTAAATTTTACTTTATTGAAACATTTATAAAAATTTAAAAACAATTTTAGGTTGCTGTACCTGATGCTGTTGAAGCAGCCAAAGATGCCGATATTTTAGTGTTTGTTGTTCCCCATCAATTCATACCAAAATTGTGTGCTAGCCTTGTTGGGTTCATAAAACCTTCTGCCACAGCCCTTTCTTTGATTAAAGTATTGCCTGATAGTATTAAAAACTTATTATTTATAATTCTTTAGTGCTATTTATATATTTAAAGGGATTTGACGTAGCTGAAGGCGGTGGAATAGCTCTGATTTCACAAATTATACAAAAACATTTACAAATTCAAGTCTCTGTATTAATGGGAGCCAATTTGGCCAATGAAATTGCCGATGAAAAATTTAGTGAAACTACTATTGGTAATCATTTTTAGTATGAATTGACTGATTTACATAATTTAACATTTTTATTTAGGATGCAAAGATAAACAAATTGGACAAATTCTTAAAGATGTAATCCAGACTGATTATTTCCGTGTTTCTGTTGTTGATGATGTTGAAGCTGTTGAAATTTGTGGTGCACTAAAAGTATTTAATTTAGATTCATCAAATAAATAATTTTCATATTTTAATATAACATATTATGATTTTTTTTTTTTTATGTGAATTTAGAATATTGTGGCTGTTGGAGCTGGTTTTGTTGATGGTTTGAAATTAGGAGACAACACTAAAGCAGCCATTATACGTATAGGTCTTATGGAAATGATTAAATTTGTTGACACTTTTTACTCTGGTGCTCGTCTTGGTACATTCCTAGAATCATGTGGTGTTGCTGATTTAATCACTACATGCTATGGTGGTCGTAATAGAAAAGTGTCAGAAGCTTATGTAACATCGGGAAAAGTAAATAAAACCTATATTATTTATTTTACATTGCAATTTAAATTTTTATTTTGAGCTAGAAAACAATTTGATCTGTTAAGTTATTTTTGTAAAAAAAATTGTATTAAATCTGATTCTCTGTTCATTTATAAAAACAACTTTTAGATGAGTGTTTCAGATATTCATCTATCTAATGATATTTTTCATTTAGGATTTATTATTAATTAATTATCATTTGCTGTTAAGTTAAAATGTATAATTCAGATTAAATTTTTACTATGATCATCACGTGTTATATTTCTTCGTTTTTTATAGTTCAATAATATTTAATCATAATTGTTTGCCATGTTCAGATAACCAAAGTCTGATTTGTAGTCGGAGAATCACAATGACTACTTTAAATCTTTAATAATTTAATTTTTTTATTGCCTGACAGTTATTTTTGTTGATAATGATATATTGTAATGGTTATCTTGTTTTCAACAAAATATTTTAATAGTTTCCATTAAGAATTAGAAGTTAATTAGAAAATAAATATTAATTAATGAGTAATCTAAATAGTTATAATCTCATATTGAACTAATAAAATAATGAAAATATAGGTATTAACAATATATTCACAGTTCATATCTACATGTAAATTTTATTCCAATAATATTTAATGAGCTATTTATGAATTAGGAATAAAATGTTTATTGATAGAATGAATACCTGGACAAATTTAATCAGGAAAATATTCAACCTCACTAAAATTTACCATAATTTATTTTCTTTATTAGTCAATTGAAGAACTTGAAAAAGAATTGTTAAATGGACAAAAACTTCAAGGACCAATCACAGCTGCTGAAGTAAACTTTATGCTCAAAAATAAAAATATGGAAAATGAGTAAGATTAAACATATTATTTTTTAAGAAATAATTTATACTTTAAATTATTTTTCAGTTTTCCATTGTTTACAACTATCCATAAAATCTGTATTGGGGAATTAAAGCCTAATGATTTAATTGAACAAATGAAATTAAATACCAACAAGTAAGTTATTTATATGTTGTAAACTGTAGTCATCTAACTTTTAATATTTAATTAAGTTAGTGGTGTATTTAGGATTTTTAATAGAAAATAATGGTATATTGTTTAAAACCATAAAAATAATATAGTTGATTTTTTTTTTTTTAAATTATGACAAAGAAATAAACATGTATATTTATAAATGGTTCACAAGAATTCCATATCCTGTTATAAATATACCACTGGTAATAAATATATATGTTCCAAAAGTTAATAAAATAATCATGAGTTTGATTTAAAATTAATTTATTATTATTAAATATTGTATTTGATCAGCTTAATGTATTTCATTAACTAAAGTAAAACTGATTTTCATTGTAATTCTTAATTATTTATTTAATAATTTAATATTTGAATAGTTTTTTTCATTTAATTGCATATTATGAATAATTGTGGAATTTTAATTAATTTTACTCATTTGTTATTCATTGCATGTATTTATAAAATTTGTTTCAATGAATCTATTTTTATATTTTACTACCTATAATATGTGTATTGTGTATGTATGATTATATATCTATTGATGTGCTTTAATTATTAACAATTATTGTTACTATTTTTGCTTAATTATTTGTAATCTTATCAGTATATCTTAATTTTTTTTGTAAAATTTGTTTTTCTATAAAACTTTTTTATTCCTTAGAAACACTTGTTTTTAACATAAGTTATATTTTATGCATGCTATTCATCAGTTTAAAATAAACTTCTAAGTATTAAAATAATTTTTACAGGTCTGACAAATTAAATCTGGATAAATGTAACCTGTAGGAATCTTTTTTTTATTCAAATACAAATTTAAGTTTTGTTTAATACATTTGTATTGTTTTATTTTATTTTAGAAAAACTGTTCAAGTTGATGGAGAATAAATGGGATAGTTTTTACAACATTGTTAGGTTGTCATATAGTATGATTTTATTTCTGCAAGAGTTAGATGCTATGTTTATATAATATATACTCACAATGCACATCAATGTCAAACTGTCTCGAATCATTCTTGTTCAATTTGTATAATGTAGGTATATTTATTATATGTGTCATGTGTCGTTTTTAAATGTTATATGTTTTTTTTTTTGCACTACCTCAAACAAAAATGCACCAATTTCAAATGTTACCAAACTTAATTATATTCAAGCGATTCATAAAAATATCAATATATACATAGGTTTTATTAGTTAAAATAAATAAATGCCATTAAAGTATTGAAACAATTATCAACCCTGAGGTCACTATTATTACTAGTAACAATATCTCTTTAAAACTACTTGGATCATCTGCATAACGATTTTTGACGGTTAATCTTCGGTTTTTTATTTCAAATAATGGTATAATAATATTTAATATATCCGGTATCATCAAAAAGAGGTCTCTTATTACCTAAAAATAAAACTATTGTGAGTAACTTAAAATCAATATTAAAAACATGAACAACAATAATATACTAATATTATATTGGTAATGCATTTTTATTAAAGTATTCTTTGATATAAAAGAAAATTATATTTTAAATTCATATGGAGCTTTTAAGATATTACAACTATTCAAAACATTAATCTGATTTATCATTTTTTAAATAATAAAGAAATAGCGTTGGAATGTCATTCAGAATAAACCTCAAGTTAAAAACGTATGAAACTAAAAAAATTTATGCATCAATAAATTCTAAGAACAGTTAGTTTTGCTCATAGAATATTTATATTTTAGCTAAAGTTTGATTTCTCAAGTTTTTAAAATAAAAAAAAACTTTATCAAGTATAAATTCAAAACTAAAACCGACAATACCAATAATAAATAAGATACACTGTATAATGTATTAAACATGATGTTTTCTTAGCATGAACTTGTATTATTCTAATGTGTAATTTATAGAGTGGACTGATCACAGTTAAGCCATATCTGGCTTAACATTAAATGAGATCATTTATTTGATATCAATAATAAATACTTAGTAGAAGTTGATTAATTAACTCATATCAGAGATGAGAGTAAATACAGTATATCTATATTTTATTTTACTATATTTTAGGTTAAGATTAGGTAAAATTAGTTTGTAAATTAATCTTACTTGATGTGCAAATCCACTTCCTCCAATTACATTAATAACAAACTGATCAAAGCCAGCAGCCAACATATGCGTTAAACCCACAGCAATGATAGAAAACAAATGGAATTTCTTTATTTCTTTTCTGCGATCACATATTGTGTACAGAATGCCTGTGGAATAGAGTTCAGTAATAGTGAAGAATATTTGATGATTCCATTGTGAATAGAAATCGTCGTTCCAATAGTTGACAAACGACCACCTTGAAAACATTGCATTATCAAAGCTTAGCAGCTAGTAAACACAGAAGTCTAGGCACTGTGTATAACTAACCACGAGTAATAATGAGAAAACATTGACAAAGTAAACAGCAACATCATATTATAGCGGATCTGCCTATCGAGACACAGTCTGACAATATTTTTCACACATTCATACAACACAATCGTGCAGACCGCCGTAATAGCCCAGATTTTAAACATATTGTCTGTAGCATTGAAGTACATATGTTTATATCTAGCAACACCCGCTTCATAAGGACCTAAAACAAAAAGTTTTTCTCTGAAAAGAAAAATACTAACTATCCGGTTTTCAAATCTTATTTAAAAGTTGTACGCATAATTACGCGTACCTTTGAACACAGTGTCCCAACAGGAACACATGCAGTGTTCCTTGTTGACGTTCACATTGAAGTCGCTCCAGAATTTTTCCAGGATCAATATGTGGATTGCCGGTAAGAAGACGGGTACGAGTAGTGCTATGCACTGCGTTTTTTTCGACGAGACATTTGTTGGTGTAGCCAACATCGTTGTTATTTATAAAATAAACTACTTCCTACCTATCAATGGCCGTTACATACTGTGTTGAAATAATTAAACACTAAGCGACTGGTCTTGGAATGTTCCGAGTGATGGGTTTTTGTGTAACAATACTCAGTAAACACATTTACACTCGTTTTCGTTGAATGCACAATGTACATTATTTGTGACTTAATACGCATGTCTCATTTTGAACTTGGGTTTATTGAGTGTAAGTGTAATTGTGTATGCTGTAATGTATAAGTATAATCACGAACGACACGTTAATACAGAATACACTATAGCCTGTGCCGCCTGTGGGCTGTGATATATTATTGTTTATAGTATAAACGTGTCTGATAAACATTATCATTTATCACATTTCATAACCGTCGCAGCACAGAATAACTGGTCGTACACTCATACCTATATAGTATATAGTCTATATAGTTCTCGCAATAATGAATAATGATGTAAATTCTGATGTTCATAAGCAACTAAGTCAACAGTTGATTATAAATAGTTACACACTTCCACAATTCCACATTTACTCGATAAACTAGTAAAATCTAACGTATATTAAGTGCTCACAAAGATTAAAGGTCAAGTTTAATGATTAAATTTCAAATTTATCTCATAATGAATATTTTGAATTTGTCTGCGAATAAAATAGTTTAAAAGAACATAATTTGAATTTAGACTTTTTTAAGTTAGATGTTTTTTGTAATATTTATTATTTTAAAAAAAATTTATCACCCCCACAAAATAAAAAAAAACTTTACTAAACAATATGTAATTTTGTTTTTATGAATATAAAATTTAATATCTTGAAAAAAATTGAAAAAAAATGTGTTGCATCTATAATTTTGAAATAAATATTCTATAATAATTTTGATCGTGGCTTATTATATATTTTCTCTAAGGTAAAATTACTAATTTATTCATAAATAATCATAGGTGTGTTTAAATGTAATATTGTTTTAATGTAAAATTACTTTTATCGAGTCAACTTATAGTTTGAATCAACACATTCGTCATTTAAATGTAATTATGTAAAACGATGACTATAATTATTTTTGAATACAATTTAGATAGGTTTTAAGGTGTTAAGCTAAACTATTGGTCCAGTTCTTTAAATTTGCTTTTGTTAAATTAAAATAATATTCAAAAATTGTTATTCAAATTATTAGTGGTTTAAACTTTAAAGTCCATCATAATTATTTTTTATACATTATCTGAAATAGACTGATATAGGAAATATTTTACAATACTCCCACAAATACTTCTTAAAAAAACATCTACAAATTAATTGGGTTCAGACTTTCTGGGCACATAAGATTATACACTTTATAGATAACATGCTAATTAGCTAATTACTAGTTGAAAAATTACATTTAATGTTATAAATATGAGAAAATTCAATGTTATTTTAAATAACATTAAAATAAAAATAACTTATTTTTATATCTTATAATTTTAGTAATCTGAAAAATGTAATACAATGTTATAGATAAAAAGTTTCAGTATTACAAGGTTTTCCTCAGAACTAGTTCTAACAACATAATTATTTATAATGTTGCTACATTTCAAGAATTTAAATTTTGTTTAAAAAAAGCATATGCATATTCAAAGTTCTTATACATCTTACCAGAAAGCTATCTTAAAATTTTTGATTTTTAATTAAAGTAACATAAGTAAACAATTCTAATTATAAAATAATACATTTTTTTATTATTTTTAAATAAAATATATTAATAAATATGATTATAATAAATAAAATAGTATAATTTCAATAACAATTATTGCAGTAGTCAGTTTAATTTAAAATAAATCGTACATAATATTATCTATAAAAATGTAATTAAACAATAATCATAGTAATAATTATACAAATAAAAAAACAATAAATGTATATTTGTGTACACAGTGCAATTAATTTTAAGTATATTTTTAATTGATACATTAAAACATTCAATACTAACGTGCAATAAAAATTAATAAAAGTAAAGAAATATTCAACAGGCCTATTTACCTATTTATATTGCTTTATTATTTCCCATTAATTATTAGTAATTTAAATTATAGTTTATACATTAAATATAAAATACATGAAATATTATAATTAGTCATTACTCATTACACACTTAATAGATAAATTATTAAAGAACATTTGCTGAAATAAAATATTATAATTAGTTTAAAAACTACTATCTTATCTTGATTAAATAGTAATTACAAAAATAACTCAAATTCAATTTTAAACTTAAAATTAAACTTATTTTGTTTATAGCTCTTTAATAAAAATTAACATGTTATTATATTATTATATATTGTGGTAATAATATTAAATTCATATTAAAGCTATTAATAGTTTATTAAAGTAAATGTAAACATGTTTTATTTACAACCTTCAACATAATTTCCTGGGAATAAGCCTGTGATGCCATCCATAACACCTTCCCACCAACCATCATCATTTTTCTTTAAGACATAAATAACTGAATTTTCTTGAAAACTTAATTCGTCATCTTTATCAGCATAATAGTCATATATTGCAATTACTAAAATATAAATTAGTTATAATTTAATATGTATAATAAACATGACTAAGGAATTTTAAACTTACCTTTTTCCAAATAGTTTTTAGGAACCCACCCAGGAAGATCAGGTTCTTGGGGTACAATTGGGCCAGCAGCAATATGACCAAAATGATCTTCTGGAGGTGGTGGCAATGGTGGAGAAGCTGATGCTTGTCTAGTATGTTGTTGTTGAGGGGAAGTGACTACTGCAGATGAAGAATGATATTGTGATGAGTTTTTTAAAATACCTGGTAACTGTGAGGTATTTGCACGGTAGTGATCAGTAGATGTTAGCTGGGGAATGTTTGAGCGATAATGATCTGTAGATGGCTGTTGAGAAATGTTTGAACGATAATGATCAGTGGATGATTGTTGAGATAAATTTGAACGATAATGGTCAGTAGATGATAATTGCGATGTATTTGAGCGATAATGATCTGTAGATGATTGTTGAGATATATTTGAATGATAATGGTCTGTAGATGACTGTTGAGAATTATTTGAACGGTAGTGGTCAGTATTTGATGAAAAAGGAGCCTGATGGAGATGATGATCTAACAAATCTGGTCCAACTCCCATTCTTGTATTTAATGTATGAGGAGATGGCGGGGCTAGAATACAAGAAGGATTAATAATTATAGATTACAAATTTAATTCATAATATAAAATTAAGATTACATACGAGGCATAGAGTTTAAAGATGATGGTTGTTCAGACTGCTGCATTGGATGTACCATACCAATGATTGGAGATGGTTGTATACTACTAGACGAGGATGTATGATGTAAAGGCAGGGTATTATAACCAGGCCCTTTTTCACGTCTGATATGGCCAAGAGGATAATTAGGAGCATAATGACTGGGGACTTGAGGTGGAGCAACAGCAGGAGGTGTACGATATTCACGAGACCCTTTACTTAAAGATCCAGTAGCTCGTATTACTGCTGGAGGAGTAGGTGGTTTAATTGTAGGAGCAGGACCAACAGATGACATATTAGTTGATGCACTGGAACTGTTTGAAATTGGTTGACGGACCATACGAGGAGTATTACGAACACCATGGCCAATATCATCAAGTGCTGTAAAATAAAATAATTATTATAACTATACATTTTTCTAAAGATTCTCTTACTGGACAGTCTTTCTACTCATACTAATTCAAGTCACTTATTATAATAATAATAAATAAAATTTCTGAAAATTTTATTATTGTACAAATAATAACAATATATATCAAAAATTATATTTTCACTGAATTATTATTGAAAAAGTAATAAATACCTGTAAAATCGATTGGTTTTCTAACATATTTAATAGGCTTTTCTGGATTAGCTGGTGCAATGATTTTATATTGACGATTGGTTGTTTTGTTTGCTGTTAACACACCAATTTCTCGTCTAGCAACTTTTTCTTTATGAATCATTACGTTCTAGAAAAATAAAATACAATAATATAATTTTATAATTAGTGCCTAAGTACTCATTACTCAACTCATACACATTATACATGTATATATCTTAGAGTAAGTTTTATAGGAGAAATAGGCTAGTCACCCCATAAACTCGTATAAATATATATGTAGAAGTGTACTAACTTTAAAAGTGATCATAGTCATCAAAATATGAAAGCTATTATATATATATATATGTAGTATACAATATATTATGTATAGAACATAAAATTAATTTTCATATACCTATCAAAAAAGTAAAAAATTGAAATCTATAAATGCAAAGTATGTGTAAAATATTAACTTTCTACTTTTAGGATTGCCATTGAATCAGTATGTATCTATTTTATAAATGTAATCAATATAATGCATTAAAAAAAAAAAAAAAAAAAAAAAAAAAATGAGATTCATATTGTTATTATTTACAATTTTTAACATAGATTTATAATCATATTTAATCACTATGTATTGTATATAGGATAATTTACCAAGCATACTCAACTAATTTTTTGTTTTTTAATTATACAATTACTCAAAATTTTGATTTTTGGAATTTTTAAAGCAATATTTTGGAATTCTGGAGATCTAGTAAGGAATTATCTGTAGCAATACAAAATCTATTTTACAAATGAGTTGGTACCTTTTTTAAAGTAAATTATTTTTTGAAATTATTGATGTATTAAAATCAAATTTTGAACAAGTAATTTTTGAGTTAGTTAACTTGTATATTTAAGAGTAATAGATTCACAAGAATGTGCTTAGAATAAATGGGAGTAAGGAAATTTGAACATTTTAGTAATTATTATAAATACATTAACATTCATAATTAGTAAAAATGGTTAATGTATAATAAATTATAGATTTTATACCATTTTATATTTTTAAGGATTATTATACTTAAAATAAACATTCTAATAATTGAGAAATTACTCGTTCAAATTTTGATTGAAGTAATCAACATTTATAAACAAATAATCCACTAAATAATTTATAATAAAAAAGGGAGTTTTCATTTCAAAAACAGAAGTTTGCTTCACTAATGAATACTCCTTAAGTAATACGAAAAATCACAAGAACTTGAAAATAACATTTAAGTATATTTATAATTCCGAGAATTTGAATTTGAGTAAATAAATTATTAATTTAAAAAATGTGGTTGAACATCATTGGTGAATTATATTGTATGTATATTATACATTACATACAATAAAAAGTAATAATTCAGTATGTAAATCTATATGAAAAAGATTACTTGAGCAATGTGATTGATTTGAC